TTTTAAAATATTTTCTTTTTGGTGAATTTTTTTTTAACGAAAAAGTGATATCAATTTGTAATGCACTATCCACAAATATGTTTTATATCTTTTAGACTTAATTTATATTAAAACTCCTTTTACATCCTTTGGGCAAAGATACTGGACAATACAATGTTTGGAAAACTATACCAAGAAACCTAATAAATTAAACCTAGACCCTTTTAATGAAATACCATCGAACGAAAGCTGGTGGGAAATGTGTCAAAAATATAAAAATTTCCAGTTGCTGAAAAAATTACGATGGGCTACATTAGGATACCACCACAATTGGGATACTAAGGTTTTTTTTATGAAACTTATTAACCCTATATACCTATTGCCTATTCACATCCAGTTTTGTTTACATTACATCCAATAGATTATATTTTTTTAATAAGTTTTTTTTACAAATTCTTCATATAAAATAATAATTCCATAAATTCCAATATTTTTTTGAGGTTTATACTGAAGATTTTCGAAACGAATTTCCATCGGATTTAGGACTACTCAGTAAAATTGTAGCCAAAGCAATTGGATATGATTATTTCGAACCTCAAGCTGCAATTGTCAATTTTTATCACTTGGATTCAACATTATCTGGTCATACAGATCATTCCGAAATCAATTTAGAAGCTCCCTTAATATCGTTTAGGTAAGTCAATGTACAAAACGCAATTGAACTTGAATTGAACCCGTTCTCAAATACAGAGGTGTTTTATTCCTCCACCACCTTCCATTCGTTCGACAGCCGCATCATGTAAACAATTATCAGAAAATGTTTTTAAAGATATTATTTTGGTTTTTCAGTTTTGGTCAATCAGCGATATTTCTCTTAGGAGGGAAAACTCTAGAAGAAAAACCAACCCCTCTACTTATTCATAGTGGTGACATTATAATAATGACAAAGGAAGCAAGATTATGCTATCACGGTATTCCAAGGATTTTAAAGACTGACAACACTCCTTGGAACACTAACAATTTTTCCGAAGAGAAATTAGCAAATTGTGGAATTTTTTCCGATCATGCGATTTTCAAGAGTCAGAATGAAGAATTGTGGAAACCGTTTGGACAGTATTTAAATAATTCAAGAATTAATATGAATGTCAGACAAGTCCTTCCTAGTGGGCAGAGTTCTCTTTAA